CGTGCTTCCGTGCTCCCGTGCTTCCGTGCTCCCGTGCTACCCGTGTCCGCTCGTGCCTCATCTCAAGCGTTGCTGACCGTCTTCGTTCGTGCGTCCCATTGGTGAGGCTAAAGGGGTTGACTGAAAAGGGGGGTGAGGACTTGGAGGTTATTAACGGGGGGGGATCGCATTGAGCTTGCGCGCTCATGCCCACCTAGCCCACCTCCTCTCCTCATCGGGACTTGGGGGTTATTAACGGGGGGGATCGCTATGAGCGTGCGCGCTCATGCCCACCTAGCCCACCTCCTCTCCCTTTCCTCTCTCACCTCGCCCTTCGTAAAAAGGGTTCTTAAGCGGGTCCGCCGGCACTGGCCCCCCAACTCCATTCTCCTCATCCTTGTACAAACTCCCTCGATCCTCGTTGGGCCTAGGCTCCTAAGACTAGGCTGTCAAAATGAGGAATGGATGATGCATTGATGTTGGTTGGGGTACATATAGCTAACCCTAAGTTTTGTACCCCCTAAGACAAACCTCACTATAGGCTACAACATTTGACACACCCCCATAGCCTAAGTGAGGGGTGTCTAGCAGAACCAAACGAGTACGGTCACAAGACCAGTCCAAGAAACGAAGCTCAGGGTGGATCACAACGTCACCACACAGTCTGAGCACAAACAACAGTGGCCACAAGGCCAGTCCAAGAAGTAACAGAGGTATATAGAAAGCAAAGTAAACAGTACACTCAAGCCTAAGCAACACGAGAACCAGTGTCAACTGCACACAGCACCTCTGGTGGTCACAAGGCGGAAGTGCCTTGGTGAAGATGTCTGCAGTGTTGGCCTCGGACTCCACAAACTCAAAGCGAGCCTGTCCACGCCTCTGCAACTCTCGCAGAAGAAAGTACCTGACGTGAATGTGCTTCACTCTGCTCTCCAGTCGTGGCTCTCGACAAAGGAGAATAGACGCCTTGTTGTCAGTGAACAAGGTCGGTGCAGAGCTCGGCCGCTCACCAAGGTCGGTGAGCAAGAAGGTCAACCAACGCAGCTCCTGTGCCGCCATGGCACCAGCGTAGATCTCAGCCTCAGCTGTAGAGGTCGAGACCGAAGAGGAGCGCGTGGACCGCCAGGAAACAGCTCCAGAACCCAGGCTGAAACAGTACCCCTGAGTAGACCTGTGAGTCTCAGCGTCGTCAGCGTAAGAGGAGTCACAGTGACCAGTAAGTACGACAGGCTGCTGCCCTCCAAGAACTAGCCCCACGCCTGACGTCGTCGCTAGGTACTTCGCCACCCTCACAGCTGCTGTCCAGTAAACAGGACGGTGTCTCCCTGGCGCAACAAAGCGCGCAAGAACGCTGAGAGGGAAGGCGAGGTCCGGGCGAGTACAAGTCATCAGGTACATGAGGCAACCCACAAGCTCTGCGTAGGGACCACTAGGCTCGAACGGCTCGTCAGGAAAGGGTCCAGTGAGTCTGTGGTCAACAGCAAGAGGTGTGCGCTGTACTGTGGAGTGCTGAAGCCCGAACCGCTGAAGGACCTGCTGCACCATGTGCGACTGTGAAAGTGTAATGGTGCGAGCAGCTCTGTCCCTGGTGATCTGCAGGCCAAGGTAGTGGCGCAGCTCACCAAGATCAGTGCAGGTGTGTCTCTTCTGCAGTTCGGACTTCACGTGTGCCAAAGCAACCCTGTCAGGGGTGGCGAAAACAAGGTCGTCAACGTAGACCAGAACAAAGAAAGGTGTGGGGCCACGACGAACGAACAGCGACGGGTCAGCAGAAGACGGCTGGAACCCAAGGTCAGACAGGGTAGAACGCAGGGTGTCGTGCCACTCACGAGGAGCCTGACGAAGACCGTAAACCGGTCGCCTCAGCCTCCACTGGGTCCCAGGAGGGAAAGAGCCAGTGAAGGCAGAGGGACGACGCAACCAGACCTCCTCGTGAAGACTGCCCTGAAGGAAAGCAGTAGAGAAGTCGAGAGAGTGTAACTCGTAGTCTCTCTGTGCTGCTACGTGTAGTAACACCCGAAGAGTGGTCATCTTCGGGGTGGGCGCGAAGGTCTGAAAGAAATCAACTCCCTCGCGCTGACTGAAACCTCTAGCCACGTAGCGCGCCTTGAAGACCGGAGGAGATCCCGGTGGCCGCTTCACCCTGTAGATCCACATGCCGTCGACTACGTTCGCCCCCGGAGGGGGAACCTCATCGACGTAGGTGCCTGTGGATCTGTAGGAGGCCATCTCTGCGTCCATGGCAGCTCTCCACTAAGAGGCCCAAGGCCCTGACACTGCCTCAGCGTAAGTGCGAGGAGTCGGAATGTCAAGGGCGTCGGGGTCACCCTCAGGGGCGAGGAGCATGGCACAGAGATGAGGGGAAGCGGCCGCCAGGAACTCTAGCTCAAACTGCCTGTCCTCTAGGGCGTCACAGCCAAGGGCAGACACACCCCCGACGGCCAGAGGACTGGAAGGAGGAGCAGCCACAAGAGCGGTGGCGAAGTCAAGGCGGCGGGTAGAGGCAAACTCAGTGACTGCGGCAGTAAGAGCGGACACAGAGGACACAGAGGCACGAGGGTGGGTAACAAGAGAGGCGAGAACACGAGAGAGAACAGGACGGTACGTGCGGTAGTAGTCAGTGACAGGAGAAGGAAGCGACACAGTGAGGGCCGACTCAGGAGGAGACGGAAGCACAGACGGAGACGGACGAGGTGGACGAGAACAAAGGAAGGCTGTACGAAGGTCAGTGAAGGGAACAGGAGACGAGGGACGAGCACGAGGGGAGCGACGAGAGGCCCAAGTCTGAGAAGGAGGAGGAGACAACGAAGACTGAGAACGAGGGAAAACAGCGGGAGAGGGGTCAGGAGGAGGAAGCGGAGGACCAGAGACGGGAGGAGAGGGGGAGGAGGAAGGAGAGGGAGACGGGAGACCAAGGGTCCGAAGACCCGAGACAGGAGGAGGAGACGGCAGCAGCTGCTGCTGCTGCTGCTGCTGCCGCGGCTGCTGTGGCTGCTGCTGCTCCAGCGGCTGCTGCCTCTGCTGCTGCTCCTGCTGCTGCTCCTGCTGCTGTCGCTCCTGCTCCTCGAGCCGCTGCAACTCTCTCTCCTCTCTCTCCAACTCCAGCTGCTCCTCACGAGCACGGCGAACACGAGCCTGGAACCTGGTCGGGTAGGGGTGGGGGGAAGGAGTAGTGTCCGGGGCAGCGGCAGCCCCAGAGTCGACCTCCGAAGCACCAAGCACACCACCCCCAGAGGCAGCACCAACACCAGCTCCAGACCCAGGCTCTCCAGAAACCGAAGGGACACCCTCACCCCCAGACGCAGCACCCCCAGACTCCGCACCAGCACCCCCAGACTCCGCACGACCAGTACCAGCCCCCGGAAGACAAGAGTCCTCTGCAACCCGCGGCTCAGCTCCAACTCCAGCACCCCCAGAACCAGAGACCTGTACAGGGACAGTCGCAGGACCAACCTCCCGAGAGGGAGCACCTGCAGGAGGCGGCGAGGAAGACTGTGGGGAGGGAGGCTGTACAGGGGGGGCTACCGAAGGGGGAGGGCTAGCCTGAGACACACCAGACGGGGCTGGACCAGGGGGGGGAGGCTGTACCGGGGGAGCAGGCGGGGGAGCGGCTGTCAGGAAGAGGGGGGGAGGAGGAACCAGGAGACCTCGACTGGGGTACCTGACGTAGTACGGGGTGGACTCCTCGAAACGGACGTCACGGGAGTCAAAGAACCGGTGAGAGGGAGGGTGGTAAAAGGTGAAGTCAGAGGAGGCCTCAGGAAAACCAAGGAAGACACAAGGAACAGCGCGAGGCGAGAGCTTGTCCGCGGAGGTGTCGCGGACAAGAGCCAAGCACCCCCAGACACGAAACCTCGACGCGACACCAGGGGACCCTGTCCAAAGACTGGTCGGTGAAGCCTCCGGCCGAGAGACGCGTGGCCAGAGGTTCAGCTGGTGCGCGGCGTACCTGACTGCGTATGGCCACAGGAAATGGGGGGCACGGGCGTGAGTCAAGGAGGTGCGGGCAATCTCCTTGCCCTGGCCCTAGTTAAACCCTAGTATCTAAGTACGTTCTTATCTTGACATGGTATCAGAGCGAAGGTCTCGGGTTCGAATCCCGGTGTATGCACTTCGGGCATCCCAGTGCGGGGGGGTGTCAGAGGTCCACTGGAGATCCCCGATGATCCTAGGGAAGGGTTACAGGCACGTCGGCCTGGGGGGTTATGGGCGCACTCACCCGCTATATTAACAAGCCCTTTTATCCCAGTGGTTAGTGACTGGGATTCTGACACTGTAGCTTTAGTGTAGTTATAAACTCTTTGTATTGGTGGTGCACCTCCTTTGTCTCCTATTTGTACCCTCGAGCCTATAGTGAACACCCCTTCTTTGTTTGGCCAACACTCTCTCCCACCAAACCCTAAGGCTCTCTCTAGCTACTATTCTTAACACTTTTGCACCTGACGTCATTGTGCTCCTCTTCAGACTTGGATTGGGATTGGGATTGGGCACCTGTACTACCGTATTCCCCTTGAGTGGGCAATCCACACCAAAAAATCCAAGCCATGAGCAAGCAAACCAACGGTTGTTCAATCAAGAAATTTAGGTGATGGCGTTGGCCAATTGCACTATTTGCACTGGACACAGGTTTTACATAAGCATAAACACTATGAATGAAATAATATAACGAGTTATGAATAAACCCGTGAAACGGTTTATGGCAATCGAATGAAATAAATAACGGCAGATCTAGTTCAGTCCTCGAAGAACCCTCTGTAAAAGACGAGTGTTAACACGTGCGTTGCATAGCACACAAGCGCGGATGGTTGACGGACTTAGACGGAAGATGCGGAGCGAGAGATGGACGGAGGGTTGATATTCCCGACGTTTGGAAACTCATTGTCCCGAGAAGAGACGGAGAAGACGGGTGGCGTGGTTGGTCGGCATCGGCGGGTGGAAGGAAAATCTGATGAAGATGAAGCGCGTAAGGGAATGCTTTTGAAGTGATCGGATTCCGATGTCCGCCGAAACGAGGGCGGCGTTTAGAAGAAGACGTTGGGAGGGAGGATGACGTTGTTGGTGCCGTGTAGGCACAGCAGCATGAGCTTCGCGGCCGCCATATCGCCTCGGGTAACCACTGCCATCTGCGACGGCATCGTCGCACCGGGCGCGCCAAGAATCACGGTGTTCTTGAGCGCTGCTTTTTGCTTCACGAGCGTTACGCCGTACACGGTACGGAACTTAGAACCGGGCTGCGCCATCTTAAGGAAGCCGGAGGGAAGCTTCTGAAGAATCATCTGGTACTCGAGAAGCTTGATGAGCTTGGAGCCGGAGAGCTGTGCCTTGACGCGCATGGGGAGGGTCGCGAAGGCCTTGTCGTTGGGGACGAGAAGTGTCACGGGCTGCGTCTGAATGTACCGCGCGAGGATGGGCTCGAAACCTGGATTAGATAGGAGAAAACAGCGGAGAAAAAAAATAGCTAGTTAATATAAACGGAAAATAATAATAACTATAAAGAACAACAAATAAAAGACAGAGCAAGCAAGGGAATGCAGCCGACAGTCTGACAGAGGATGTGCGGGGATTTTAGGGTTGAAGGTTACCAGATGATTGGAGGAGGGTCATGTACGTGTTGTACTCGCCCCACTTCTTGAGCGCCTCCTTAGCCTTGATCAAATCGGCGTTACCATCCACCACTATAGCGGCGCAGGCTGAGACGAGAGCGAGAAGCGTGAGGATTCTTACTATGTGCGCCATTGTGCATGTAGGAATGAAGACGACCTAACCAACGTAATTCTTGACACGTTCAAATAACGGCAGGAACGGTTTCTGAAGCTTTCAAGGGAGTCTGGACGTTTCTTGCTGTGCTGGTGTGGGTGATAAACTGCAGTGCTGGAGCGGAGAGATAAGCGGAATGGAGAAGGCAGTGGAGGTGGTAGGGAATATGAAGGGGACAGGGAAGTGGCCCAAGAGGCAGGGGGAACGGGCGGGTGTGCGGAGGAGGCCAGGAGACAGGGGAACAAGAAGGGACAGGGGCGCGGAAGTGGAGTTGGTGGAGAAGATGAATTCCACCACACAATGGGGAAGGCGCAGGTTGTCGGGGTGGGGAAGGAGAGGGAGGAGTGCACCTGACGTGGCTGGAAGATTGTGCCAGGGGGATCGCCTGACTCACCTCACGCGGCACCATTCGAACAGCAGTTTGTCTGCTGCAAACGAATGCCAGAGTGGTCACCACACGACAAGACAGGTGACGTCGACAAAGTAGGGCGACAGTCGAGCACCAGCTGTTCCATAAGGGGCAATCGTTCAATTTTTTCTTCCCTCGTGGCTGAGCTTGCAGTTCGAGAAGCTCGCATTTCTGAGGGTGAATTCTGAATCCATCGTCGTTCCAACAAGCTCACCGAATCACGGGAGAGAGGCCCGTAAAATAACGCCTTCATGCTGCAGTCAGTTCTGTGAATAAAGTAATAAAAACAGCATCCTGGTACGTGTACCAGGACGATATTTTTTCCATGGTACATTATTTCGGAACAAAAAGCAGAAAACTAAATATAGCCAACTGTGAACAGCTGGAGTAGGTAGGTGTTCAAGGCTCACGACAAACAAGAGGCTGTTAAAGCCCGAGTCCCAAATTGCGGGCCGCGCGGGTCAAGCTTTTAAAACTTGACGAACTAGTGTTTTCAAGGTTTGAAGAAAAGCGTGCCTGCAATTTGGGACTTTTGGGAACTGAACCAACCCCCAGGGCGAAATACGAGGGCGGGCTGGGGTTGGCGAAAAAAATGAAAAAGGCGAAATCGGAATCTTTCGCCAAAACCCTCACCACAAAAACCCCCTCGCGTCAACCTTTTAAAAGTTGTGCAGTTTGGGCTGCCGGCTTTAAGTATTCGCGAATGTGTTTCCTCCCGCAGCTGCGACTTTGCGAATATTTCGGCATTGCCATCAGCGATGGATATCTACTACAGTAATTGACCTCCAACTCGGCATAAGATGTGCTAGGGGCCCTATAATGTTTATATTCATGAATGTTCAATACTTCAAGCTGGATTATACGAGTGAGCGATAACTGCAATCAAGTGATACTATATGAATTTAAACGTATGAAAAAATAAGAAATATTAATACATTTTCACATATATTATTCTGTTGGTGTCGAGGTTTCGCTGGAGTTCCGGGTGACGTAGCGTGCAAGCGGAAAAATGGTTAATGTTAATAGTTGGGGCTGGATCAGCCAACGGCTTCTCCTATTTCACGCTTCAGAACTTGTCTTCAAATTGAGTGGGAACAGGAAGAGAAGAGGAAAGGAGGAATAACGTGAGGAGAAAAAAGGAAAGAAGAAGAAAGAAGGGAATATGGAGAAAACGGTAGGAGGAAGAAAAACCGGGAAAAAGGAAGAAAAAACACAAGACACAACCTCAAGAAAACCCCAATAGCACACACAATTGAAACCCCATCTAACCATCCCATCAAAACACCCCAACTGCACTCCCATCGAACCAAAACCCCCCCTAAACCCACCCTCTAAACCCGCATGTCTACCAAGTAGGGTGCATCCGCCCACGGAGCATCCCATCCCATCTCCTCCTCAACATCCTCCCGCTCCACCCAAACAGCCTCTGGACCTCTCATCATCGACGCCGCGCGTAACAAGATCACACGCGCCTGAGCCCGCTGCAAAGCCACACCCACGGCCGCTTTGAGTGAACCGAGCAAATAAGCCGAGAAACCCTTTCCCGTAGCTCGCGCCGCCCCTTTCGTCTTTGCTATCTCGATCTGCGCGTCACCCTGCTTCTTAAGCCACCGTCCAAAACTCCCCCCCAAGCATCCCCATGTCTCAGCAATGAGAGGTGTGAACTGCACTCCCCTATGCCGCTGTAGAAGCGATTTGTAGTCCGCCGCCTTCCGCTTTTCTCTCTCTCTCGCGGCAAAACCCACCTTGCGCCCAATCTGTCCATGGTGCTGCGCGGATAGCGAGATAGGGTCTACCACACTAACCTCCAGCGCGTGCTCCTCCCCCTCCCTCAGTTTCCGAACCGCCACATCAACCCTCTTCCCTGGGAGCAACGTGTCGTCTTCCATGGTCACAATCCCACCCGCACCCTTAGCTATCTTCGCCACCACAAACTTAACCGCATCGTGAACACGAGAAGGTGCATACTGATACTTGCAGCGAAGGGCATGATGCGGGTCAGAGGGATCAGCAAACTCAAACCCACACGCGCACTTGCCGGCCACTATCAGCTGCTGTATAGGGAGGCCTAAGCGCATGGACGCGCAGATGCTCCACTCGGCTGCGGTGAAGGTAGCCTCCTCGTGCGAAGGAACGGCAGAAACCCACGCCCCAGCCCCCGGGCCTGTACGAAGTGTCGACGAAGATTCGCGGGACCTTAGGCTGCAAGAGAGTCTTGACGACAACCCACGCGATAGCTGCAACGAGTGCTAAGGACAGAAGCGACTCGGGAGCCGCCAGCATCGACGATAAGGCGGCACCCATGCTGGCTGACGTCTCGGATTGCACGCAGCTTGATCAGCTAAGACTGGCGAATAAGTAACTACGGCGAGCAAGCTGACATGGCCTACAGACCATTCAAGAGGCAGTCTAGCTGACATGGTTGGGGCTGGATGATGACTGGTGAACGCGTTGTCGAGCCAAAGCAAAGAATTTGAAATTCCTTGGAATACGGTAGCATATGAATCGGTTGCTTGTCCTTCATTTAACGTGACGTTTGACTGAGTGTAGAATTACATGGAATCGCATTATTTTGCCTCGTCACATCGCATCCACACGTTTCCGAGGCGCCGTGGTCCGTGGACCAACAACCCGTCACCGCGATCCGAACTCTGGAGGACGAAGAGTGGCGGCGCGGGTTTCTCCTCTCCACACAAGCACACTCAGTATTGTGCCCTTGACTCGCCCCTTCAGGACCGCCGCAGGGAAAGCAGCACACAGCACGCAGCACACAGCACACAGCACACACCACGCAGCACGAATACGCTCAGGCAAGACAGCCACGCTTGCGACACGCGCAATCGAGGCGCTTTTCACCGTCAAGGCCAAGCGCGTTCAGCTCAAAGATCAAGCGGTGCTCTCTCTCCAGCTCGGTGCTTACGAAGCTCTGCGCCTCGACTCATGAAGACGACTAGGTATAAATCCACGCGTTGCCGCTAGCATCAGTTTATTTAGCGACCACCAACCAAGCCTAACTATTAACTCCATTCAACAACGTCCACGCTTCGCCTTCGCTTTCCACCTACCGTTTTTCCTCAACTTTGCAAATTAGACTTGGTCGCGCCAGCCATAACCATCAAGATGAATACTCTCCGCTTATCCCTCCTCGCGCTCCTCGCGGCGGCGCTCGTCCTGCACATGCTTCCGGCGCGCTCCGCCGCGTCCGACGTCGACTCGGCGATCGCCCTCGACGACTTTGAGGATGCTGACGACGCCAGCGACGTTGCAGACCGTCGCATCCTTGCTGGCTCCGGAGGCGCGTACAAGCCCAAGCACAAGAAGCGCCGTAACGCGGCCGGCGACGGCTCGGGGTACTGCCCCTATGCCGGCAAGTCCGGCCCGTCGCCTAAGAATGAGTACTGCGGCGGCGCGTGCTGCATCGTAAGTCTCACCGAAACGAACCCACTAAATTCCACGTCCCTTGTGCTCTGGCATTTATCGTTTCCCTCTATCGCCTGCTATTATTTTCTGCGCGTCTCGACCATCGGTCTGCGTGTCCTCAGTGCCCGCTATGCCACTCCCGATCCCCATACCCCTCGTGCTTCCCTCCGAGTTTGAGTTTCTCGTGCCGCCGTGACGATATCCAATGCCGGCGCTTGCTCTAACCTCTTCACCCGCGCCCTTCCCCTCCCTACACCCTCGTGACCGCGCAGAGCCCCGAATACCCGTGCTGCGGCGGCGACAAGTGCTGCAAGAAGGGCGGGTGCTGCCAGAAGAACGGCGCCTTCGTCTGCTGCAAGAGCTACTAGATCCGCACCGCCGCCGCTGCAAGCGCTGGGCTTTAGGCTCTCCGGCCTCGAAGGATCTGAGTTTCTCGATTTTGAAGCCCAGCCCACTAACCCGTAGACGGACATGACCTTGTTCTAGGTCCTTGTTTGGTGCGCTGTGAGTTGGCCTAGAGGTTTAGGTGTGCAATATTTTGCTGGAATGAGTGGCAGTAGAATGCGTAGATGGTGGCTGCATCAAATATGTAGTTTGGCTGCGCAATGCTGTGCCTCCTTAATGAAGCTTTTCACCGTCACATCTGTTCTTGAGGCAATGAAGGAACCCACTTCGCTGGGTTGTTTCAATGGTAATTTAAAGAGATGAAATGGATACGGTACCTTTTCCCTTTGCTGGGTTGTTCTCAGGTACAGACAGGATGCATCTGTTACCTTGCTTACAACCCAGCGTTGATACGGGTACAAGAATCGAGAGTGATTCAAGCGAGTGCTTTCCAGAGACCGTGCTTGGCGAGATGCCCAGGAATTCGCACAATCATGTCAGTAGGTTTGTGCGGCTTTATTTGTGGCACTTTGCCACTTCGATGCTCTACAATACCTAAGCTGTATCACTTTGATTTTGAGAAGTGGATGAAGTAGATACATTAAGATCCGTACCCCACTTGATTCTCCAGCTGCACCCTACCTGCAAGCCCCTGCTGTCGTCCCAGCTGCATATGCAGCTCCCTCTTGGCAACCAATGCATGCAGCTTACTTACCCCTCCTGATTTGAGGTCCTGCCAAAGACCAGCCACCGAGCCATGCGCAGACAAGTCGGCTCCTTCCTTACTGGCACCCATTAAGAGGGGGATGTAAAAGTTTTCACTGCCGTGGCAATATCATCTGCCATGAATTCCACCAAGCAATGACGGTGTGCCTCTCATGTTGCCATATTTGGTACACTAATGCTGCCTGTCATGCCATCCATCCCATCTGTTACCCACTATTTTTTGCCACAAGTCGTGTGATGTTCCCACATTGATAAGAAAGCGGCAAATTTGTCGAGTTTGGGCGGCAGGATCCACATTGCTGCCTTCTTTTTCTTAGCACCATTTGTGTGGATGGAAGGGCATGTAAGAAGCAGCATGTATGGAAGTAGTTACGGATGGTGTAATGAATGGAAGTATATGCCATAACGGTGTCGCAAAATTCTGATGCGAGTCATTGGAGGTTCACACAGTGTTAGGTGCATAAAGTGGCGGCACGCGTCTCTCTGTACAAGCACTCTCCTCTCCCCTTGACTCGCCTCGCCCCTCGGAGACCCTACAGTACGGCCCTGCTCGACAGGCACGCAAACCCTTCCGCGGAACCATCGCGGCTGTTTCGACTTGGGTTTTTTTTTCACCGGTCAGCCCGCAATCTGCTGTTCTTGGGCTCTAACGCAGGTAGCACGAAGTGTTAAGGGTTAGCCTGTCGAACGTGACGTTAACCCTCCAAGTTCAGCCCCCCCGAAAGCTCCCAGCCCCTTCCCCTTCACAATCATGTCAGTAGGTTTGTTAGCCTAGCTCTAGCCCAGCCCTCTAAGCCCCAGGATGGAGTTCGGCCAAGAGCTAGGCTAGGGTTTCGTTCGGGAGGGAAAACCCACCGCATACCCTACGAAGTTTTTCCAACCAGAGCCCGTGCCCAAGCCGCTCCCATCTCTGCCCTGAAAATGTCCCCTCCCCTCCCCTGCTCAACCAAACCAGTCACCAGCCACGCACCAATCTCACTTTTATTCCCTTGGGTTACCCAGGTTCCCATGTGATCACTGGGTAATTTTTACCCTGCCCACGATCCCAATGGTGGAAGGAGGGGTTGAAACATCGCCCTTACGACCCCCTCCTTCCGACGAGGGGACGCGCTGCTTCCGATTTGGTGGCAGGGGGGGGGGGGTCTTGGAAAATTTTCACGGAAATCTCCTCTTAGCTCTAGCCTAACCCTAGCCCTCCAAGGAGGGGCCTGCCTGTCGAACAGTACCTACAGTTGAGCGCAAACACCCTTGATTTCACACCACGCTTCGGTACCTTCAGCCAACCTTTCCGTGTATCGGGCTGGAGAATTGACGACTCCGATTGTACAGCAGCTCATCGTACGACGAGGAAGGGATCTTCGTGTGATGGTGTTTGCGCATTCCAGCGCTTGCTGGAGACATCGTGTCGCGACATATTTTGCTTGCTTGTTGCCTCGACATTTTCAAGTTTGCAGCCGTAAGCACGGCCCCTCCGTCTATCGACATGCCCCCAGAAGCAAGTTTGGTCAGGGTGGACACTTTCTTTGTGAATTACGCAGTCTCGACTCAACTCATGCCTTCCGCTGAGTCAGCATCACCGACCCGTAATGTCGTGCGAGACTATAGTGAAGTTATTGGAGCATAGGCTGGTATAGTGTAGTTGATACACCATACCAGCGCCATGCTGGCGGCACCGCAATCGAGGCGCCATGTCTTGTCGATGACGTGACATCGCCAAGTGTAGTCGTGCTGATGAGAGAGACCTCCCTCAGACAGCTGCGCAAGTACGAGTGCGGTAATGCGCCTCGACAGGGAGTGTTGCTAGTTAGGTACGAACGAATATGAGTGCGTCCATGGCCAGCTTTCGACGTCAGACCATTCAGTCTCAAGGCATATTCAGAGTACAGGCTCTATTACCCAGCGCAAACATCAATCGCGCTTTTACTTTATCCAGCGTTTCTGTTTAGCGCCTGTTCCGCCTCGCTAGTTGAGTATCTGCCACACGAGCCGTACCCATCAGTATGAACGCTCTCCGCTTCTCTCTCCTCGCACTCCTCGCGGCGCTCCTTGTGCTGCACCTGCTGCCCGCACGTGCGACCGCGTTCCCCGTCGAGTCGGCAATCGCAAGCGACGAACTCAGTTTCGCTGACGCCGCCGGCGAAGTCGCAAGCTTTCTTGGCGACGACGCCAGCGATCTTAGCAATCTAGCTGACAGTAGTAGCGGCGCGTCGATCGGCACGGGCGGCGCAAAGTCGGGCAAGAAAGGCGGCTCGAAAAAGCGAAAGTCAAAGAAGCACGGGAAGGGAGCCTCCACGGCCGGCAATTTCGTGTTCTGCCCCTACGCTAGCTAGTCTGGCGGGACAGTGAAGGCCGAGAGCTGCGACAGAGTAGCCGCATTGTGAGTTTTCACGGAAAACCGGACGCACTGAATTGCACGTCGTGCATTTTCGCCGCGTTACCCTGTTTCGTTTCCACTCTCTGCCCGTCATCGCCACCGTCGCCTGAACTAATTGCTCTCTCATTTGCATGCCCCCTTTCCCACTCCTTTTCGCCAATCCTCTCGTGCCGCCGCCGTGGCAAGTCAATTTTAGGCTGTCGCAGTGGCTTGCGCAGAGCCCCCCCTAACCTTTCCACTTGCGCCCATTCCCGTCCCCACCTCCCTCCCTCCCTCCAGTTCACAGCCTACGCAGCTCGCGCCGCTAGCCTAATGACCCGCATTCGGTGCTCGTGTGGCGTTTCTATTACTGCGCTTCCAGTGTCAAGCTCCGCTTCCTTGTGAAGCGTGCTCGTAGAATGTGTAGTTGCCGCAATGCATTTTTGCATGTCTCAAGTTCCAACTATAGTTGGGGGTTAGCAGGAAAGTTTGGCACCATGCGTCATGCCATTGGAAGATTGGGCTAGAAAAGGAACCACACCAGAGTTGCAACTGCGTTCAGCTCTCTTTTCTGCTAGAAAACTTCTCCAACAATGAGAATACCAACAATTCTTAGCTTCATTCACGTACCGTGAAATCCTCCCCCTGATGAATCAACAAGCATCCCAACCCACATCCATCCATAGCATTTGCCCATTTCCTACTGATCACCTCGACCACTTTCACAGAAAATTTCGGCTGCCCGACTGTGCGCCTGAGAACCGCCCAGAGAGGCCCTGAGCCATGCCATCCGCAGTCCACTTCATGGCCTTGGGTTTCACCTCTAGATCCCTCTCCCTGTCCCACATCCTCCATCCCGCCTCCCCTCCTCCCCCTCTCTCACTCCCCCCGCTTCCCTTCCCCACGCCCTCCCCCTTCCCCTTCCCCTTCTCCTTCTCCTTCCCCTTGCTCTTTTTCTTGCTCTCTTCAATGAGTTTCTTCCGGTGCTGCTCCACCAATGAGACCGCTTGCTTCTGGGCCGCAAGATTGTCCACTAGTGCTGCCGTGCGCTTGTCGTGTAGTGACTGCAGGGCGGCGGCTGAGTCAGCAGAAGGGCCCTCGAGGGCATTAGCAGCAGAGGAATAGGCCTCCAGGTACCTGGGAATAGGTTTCAGTCGAAATCAGTCGGGGTTGGGGCATTGCAGGGTGGGGAAAAGAGGGCATAGGCAGGCAGCAAAGGAATAGGCCTCCAGGTACCTGATAAACATGATCGGTGGGAGTCGGTTTGGGGGTTGCGGGCATTGAAAGGCATGGGAAAGAGAGGGTTGGCAGCTTGGCGCAATGCAATGTGCGTGGGTATGGGCAGAGCTGGAAACATTTGTGGGTGGGCAGGAGGCAGGCAGGAGCATGTGTGCGACGGGGAAGTGGGGCCGGGCAGAGCAGGGCATGAAATGAGAGCGCCATGAGTCGCGTCTAGAGGCATGATCTATCTGCCCTTTCACCTAATCTGCCTGGGCTCAGGACAGGACAGAAAAATGCAGAATAATGAGATACAACAGGGATGCAGAGTGGTGCGGAGTGGTGAAGTAAGCAGAAAGAGCTCACTGTTTCTTGGCTCTGGCAGCGCTCTGCTCGGGTTGAAGGCCCATGCTGACGTGTGAGGTGTGGATGAGGCCAGCAGAAGTGTGCGCGTGAAGGGGAGGTACAACAGTGATGCAGAGTGGTGCAAAGTGGTGCGGAGTGGTGTGGAGCGGTGAAGCATGAAAACTAATGCTCACTGTTGCTTGGCTCTGGCAGCTCGCTGCTCGGGGTTGTCGGTCCATGCTGACGTGTCACCGCGCCCCACCTTGTCACTGCGACTGAAAAACGTGTTGGTCTGAGCTGGCGGGCGGGCCTGGGAGGGCATGGATGGGGGGAGATGGAGGT